TTGTATGTAGGATTCAATATTGATTCTTCTTCAATATTAGTCTCCTAAATTGTTTAAATTATCGCATCATCTTTTTCTTGGTCTGCCAATACTTCTACGTCTATTTGATGACATATCTCGTGCTATTCGTACTATTATATCCTCTGCTATTCTACTAATGTGTTCGTTCCACTCCTGTTTCCGTTTTGTCACCTATCCTTTTATGTCTTCTCCGTATCCAACAGACTTTTCCCTGATATTCATCGAAGTATTTTTGTCTCTGTTGTTTCTAGTAGTCGTCTCGTTTTAGATGTGTCAGGTCTTTTTCTACTCCGTGTATGTGAATATAGTTTTAATTGCAGCTTTATAGATTCTTGTTTTTGTGTCTTGACTTAGGTGTTTGTTTTTTCCAGATTATGTCATTAAGATATCCCTCCACTTTACTTTCTTTTACGCTTTGTTGTCGTACTTCTTCTTCAACATATTCGTAACTAGTTATATCTATTCCAAGATATCTAAACCTTGCTTTCTGCTTTATTATTTTACTATCAATTTCGATTTAACATCGTAGTTGGTATTTAGATTTTGTCACACATTTGTTTTTTTCTGCTAATATTATCATATTGTATTTCTTGGCCAACTAATCAATAACCTCCTAACCAACAGACTGTTTCAAGTATATATATAAACGATACAAAGAGCAATGTCAGAAAGCTAAATAATGGCCTCCCACAGGGTTCAGGGCTTGCTCCACTATTATTTAACATTTACACAGCCGATCTTCCAGAGACAAAATCAAAAAAATTTGCTTACGCAGATGACCTGGCTATCGCATTTCAAAATCAAGCCAAAGATGTTGGAGAAAGGGCGCTTACCGAAGACTTAAGGGTTCTCTGCGACTACTTTAAACAATGGCGACTTCGCCCTAATACAAACAAAACTGAGACAAGCCTCTTCCATCTCACAAATCAGCTTTCGGATGACACCCTTAGCATCACCTTCAATGGCGAGACTTTGAAACATAATAACAACCCTAAATACCTGGGTGTAACGCTCGACAGATCACTGACGTTCAAAACCCATCTTACGAATGTAGCTGCCAAAGTGAGAACCCGTAATAACATAATAACAAAGCTTGCTGGAACGACATGGGGTGCCACTGCGGATACACTTCGAACCTCCTCACTGGCCCTGGTGTATTCTGTCGCTGAATACTGCGCACCGGTATGGCTAAATAGCGCTCATGTCAACAAGATTGATGTTCAACTAAATTACACTATGAGAGTAATATCTGGTACTATTAAATCAACTCCACTAAGATGGCTTCCAATTCTGAGCAATATAGCACCTCCAGATATTCGACGAACGGCAGCACTTGTCAGAGAATATCAGAAAATCATGGCAAATAATCGTCTGCCAATTCACCAGTATATTCTGCACGCCGCACGAGACCAACAAAGACTGAAGTCCAAACGACTCCCTTTCCAATCCGTTCAGGGAATCGGTGATAGCTACAATAAGCAAGAGCAGTGGACGAAAAGATGGATGCCAACAACAGAGCCAGACGTCATCAAAATAACAAGTACGTCGATCGGCTTCACTGGATCAAACCTGCCACGCCCTATATGGACAAAATTAAATCGCATACGCACGGGTCATGGCAAATGTGCCGATTTTCTATACCGATGGGGTCATGCAAAAAGCCCACAATGTGATTGTGGATCCCCAAAACAGACCATCCAACACATCATGGTGGATTGCCCAATCCGCAGATACAGCTGAGACCTTCAAGATTTTGCAGAGTGTTCTCCTGGTGCAATTGAATGGCTGTGCAATTTGGACATTAATATTTAATATTTAACTTAGATTACAATTCCAATTTGAACATAATTATTATCTAAATACTACTTTTATCGTATTGTAATTATCCATACGCTAAATAAATAAATTTCTTGGCTGTTGTATTGAAGATGTGTGTTAACCTTTGAAGCTAGTGTACTGTTTCGGCGATTAATGCCGATTAATTAAAAAAAGTTTTTACGCATATAGTAAAATTAAGAAACATTTCATGATCAGATCATCCAGTTCTTCACATTCCTTCCAGAAGAATAAAAACGGCAAAGCAAATATTTAGGAATTACCAGAGATAAACTGAAACTAGTATCCTGGCACTTAAACGGAGTTACTGCATATTTGAATCTTGCTCGACGAAGTAATCACTCCGTATATGCCATACTAGTTAGACACATGAACATTTCCGATTCAATCTCGCGTTCCATTCATCGTTCATTTGTAAGTCCGAACCCTCACAATAAATCATACATTTTTTAGCAATTCTTCAAGTAACATACCGAAACCAGACGTTACAGCAGTAAGATTAATACCGTGGCATTTCATGTTTTGCATTTTTCAATTTCGCCAACGGTATTGGCGATTGATACTTGTGTTTGACGAGACTGTACTACAAGTGATCATTTCTGTTTATTAATGGCATACCAATATATTCTTGTCATTTGGTATGCAGCGAAAGCTTTTTTATAAATCAGTTTTATATGCTGAGAAAATTAAATTCAGATTATGTAATTATAATCATCGAGTGGTATAATATTTTATGCTGTTTTCCACGATTAATATTCAGTACCAAATTGATGGTAGAAGTATTTATTAATGGGAAACTCTCCGTCTTTCATCTTTTTCCATCACTATTATTTTTTACTGACTGATTTTACATTTTACAAGCAAATTGTGAGTACCAAACGGCCGAGATAGAAGTACCCCCGCCAAGCCTGGAAGAAATTATCACGGCGATAGAAACCCTAAAAAATGAAAAATCCCCGGGACTAGACAATATTGATGCAGAACTGATTAAAAAAGGAGGGCATGAAATTAGAACTAAAATACACCAATTAATGAAAGAAGCCTGGGAACAAGAAATAATGCCAAAAGAATGGAGTGGCTGTATTATCGTGCCAATACATAAAAAAGGCAGAAAGGATACATGTGGCAACTGCAGGGGAATCTCACTAATCAGTACTACATATAAGATATTAGCTTCAGTTGTACTAAAACTATTACTGCCATATACAGAGGAAATTATTGGCGATTACCAACGCGGCTTTAGGCCTGGAAGATCAACAGTCGACCAAATATTTACTATCAAACAAATGCTAGAAAAGTATTGGGAATATAAAAAGAAGTACACCAGATCTTCATAGATTTCAAACAAGCATATGATTCCATAGATCGCTTAAAACTGTGGAGTGCAATGATGGAGTTAGGCGTACCAAAGAAGCTGACCATGATTGCGCGAATGTGTGTCAACAATTCCTTTGCACAAATTAGAATAGGAGGCAAAACTTCAAAGGCTTTCGGCATAAGCACCGGGCTCAGACAGGGAGACCCGCTGTCTCCATTACTATTTAACCTAGCATTGGAATACGCAATGCGAAAAATCTATACCAGAGTCAAACCAGACATAACTGCCAGAGGAGCAAAGATTATTCTCGCATTTGCAGATGATGTAGATGCAGTAGCACAGACAACACTGGAAGTTAAGGATATAGTATCGAACTTTGAAGAAGCAACAGTAAGCGTAGGCCTGAAAATAAACGAAGAAAAAACTAAATACATGGTGGTATCAAAAAAGGAACGACAGCGAATAAGACAAAACATTACCATAAACGATCATAATTTTGAGGTGGTCAAAGAATTCAAATACCTAGGAGCAACAATTACCAGTGAAAACACAGGAGAACGGGAGGTTGAAATACGAATACTGGCGGGGAATAAATCATTATTTGCCATTCAACATCTAATGAGGTCAAAGCTTCTCTCAAGGCTTGCCAAAATCCAAATGTACAAAACCATAATACGACCAGCAGTGACATATGGAAGTGAAACATGGACATTGACAAAGAAAGAAATCAATAAGCTATTAGTATGGGAACGCAAAATCCTGCGAATTATATATGGTCCTTGCAGGGACAGCGCGACAAATGAATGGAGGAGCAGATACAACAATGAAATAGAGACTCTCTTCGGGAAAGGAAACATCGTAAGATACATAAAAACCAATAGATTAAGATGGGTAGGCCACGTGGTACGGAGTGATGACGACAGACTGATTAGCAATGTGTTTTGGGAAAGACCAGATGGTAAAAGATCGACAGGAAGGCCTAGAAAAAGGTGGAAAGACGCTGTCAGGGAAGACCTGGAGAAGATGGAAGTAAGGCCATGGGAAATAATAGCACAGGATCGGAATCAATGGAAGGCAATAGTAAACGCGGCAAAAACTCACGAAGAGTTGTAAAAGCCAATGATGATGATGATGATTTTACATGTCAATGACAATACCTGCTATATACGAAAACTTAGTTTTTACAGGAAGTAAAAAGAATGTTGCCATTTTTAAAATCGTTTTTATCCGATCTTATAATTAATGCAGTTTAAGAACATTATTATTATACAGGTATTCTACATATTTTTAGTTTAATTTTTTAAAAATATTAAAAATAATGTCAGATAGGAGGTTTTGTCACAGATTTTGTTAGAGTTAGCAGATACTGCATGATACTTATATTTTTTATTATTAATTGTTAAATGGTGTTTACAAATGTTTATTGAATGATTTGTCAAACTGAATTAAGTATCTAGTTACAAAAATAAAATAAAAATAGCGTTTAGGTACTATTTCTATCTTGAACTGTTTTTTTTCAGAGCCGTGGCTGTTTATTTGTTGACATGTTTTTAAAAGAGCTCGAAAATAAGAACATTAATAAAGATTCTTCTAACATTTCATCAGTTCGAAGTATTCCTTTGCTTGATACCACCAATTCTTTAGAATTAAATTCAAAGGAATCTAATCAATATAGTCGTCAACATGATAAGTCTTCTTTTATGCATGGAAATGGAAAGGAAAATTTACTACTGAGAATAGCATATCTTTAAATGAAACTCCAACAATTTCCAAAGAAAACACCTGTAATGATTTATGTCTACCAAGTACTTCTAATATTGTTAATATGGATCAGACAAAAAATGATTACATATCTCCCATTCGAAGTAACGAAAGCGATATAGATGATTCCGATGCCAATCAAAATTTTGATGTTTCTTCAGACAAATTATTCTCAAACAGATTAATACCTACAACTAAGAATTCTTCATCCAGCAGCAACATCAGTTCTTCGACTAGTACTGACAGCTCCGACAGTCCATCTGAGTCTACAGTTTCGAATATTGAAGATAATGGAGAAAAGAAAGGAAAAAAAAGAGTACGAAAACCTGAGAATTGGCAGATAGCGAAGACGAATCTAGCAAAACAGTCTTCGATACTCTGGTAATTATTATGGTAATGGTATATTATCTGCTAATGGTAATCTGGTAATGGTCAAATTTAGATATCACTTTTTAGTCTGATAATTGCTGCGGCCAGCAAAAGAATAAATATTTATTGAGTGCTTATGTATATGCTGTTTTTACATGGGAATTAAATCTATTACACACAAGTTTTTAATTCAAGGGCACTCACATTTATTTATCGTATGGCAGTTACAACACATTTAGAACAAAATTACAAACACAAGTAATATAGGTATATGACAAACTTTACCAACATTCAACAGTATTCCACATTGATTCGTACTGCAAAAAAAACTGGTTAGTCTTATACGTCGTAAACATGACACATGACACGTTTTTTGATATTAAGGCTTTGCAGAAAGAGTATGGAACAAATTTGACTATGGATGAAGATAAAAACCAAGTTAACTAGCACTAGCATAATATAAAAAGTCTTCGCGTTGAAAAATAAAGTCCTGGAGTCTTTTTCTATAAAACGAGCTACTCTGATGTAGATTTCAAGAAAACGAAGTTACAGAAAAGGAAAGCTAAAGTAAATAGAGAATTATTTTTAGAAGGTTTAGAAAATGATAATAACAAACTTATTAAACCAGGATATGATCTGATAACAGGAGAATTATTAAAAAATCTACCAAGAAAAGCCATAGTTAAGCTGACATACCTAATAAATGCTGCTTTTAGATTGAGATATATTCCCAGACTCTGGAAAGTAGCCAAAGTAATTATGATCGCCAAACCAGGTAAATCTCCTAATGAAGTGACATCCTATCGACCAATATCCCTCCTTCCGGTGATGTCAAAACTATTTGAAAAACTTCTATTAAAAATATTAAAACCAATAATAGAAAGAAAAAATCTTATACCAAATCATCAATTTGGTTTCAGAAATCAACATTCCACTATAGATCAAGTTCACAGAATAACGAATATAATAGAAAAAACATTAGAAGAAAATAAAGTCTGCTCTACAATCTTCTTGGATGTAGCACAGGCGTTTGATAAAGTCTGGCATGACGGTTTAAACTATAAACTAAGAACGTTCATGCCTAAACAGTATTCAGAAATCTTGAAATCATACATTGCGAATAGATATTTCAGAGTAAAACAAGAAGAAGTGTACACCGACTTAAGGGAGATCAAAGCTGGCGTGCCACAAGGAAGTGTCTTAGGTCCGGTCCTGTACCTATTGTATACGTGTGACATTCCAGAGCTAGAACAAAATACTATTGCCACCTTCGCGGATGATACAGCCATACTAGCGATAGGAGACACTAGTGAAGAAGCGACTGATAAATTGCAACTATCAGTAAATAAAATACATAACTGGACCAGAAAATGGCGAATAAAATTAAATGAGACTAAATCTGCACACATTAACTTTACAAATAAAAAAATAGAAAATTTCCCAGTTAGAATAAATGATACCCGAATTCCTTATGCAACATCAGCAAAATACTTGGGCATCACCCTAGACGCGAAGCTGCGCTGGAAAGTCCATGTCAAAAAGAAAAGAGGGGAGCTTGATATTAGATATAAGAAATTGTATTGGCTGATTGGAAAAAATTCAACATTGTCAATTCATAATAAATTATCCATCTACAAGCAAGTACTGAGGCCAGTATGGGTATATGGGTGCCAACTCTGGGGCTGTACCAAAGCTAGTAATCTACTTATTATCCAGAGATTTCAAAATAAAGTACTGAGAAACATTGTTGATGCTCCTTGGTATATCTGTAACAGCAACCTCCACCAGGACCTGGGTATGGAAACTGTGATCGAAATAATCAAGAGAACAGCAGCAAGTCACGAGCAGAGGCTGCATAGTCATGTGAATGTCGAGGCAATCCAGCTTCTTGACAACACTGAACTAAAGAGAAGACTCATAAGGACAAAACCATTTGAGCTAGTGTAAATGTGTAACAGTTTAGTGTAAAAAGCAGAGTATAGTGCTGTGAAGTTATTGCATGCTAGTTGTAGTGCATTAGTTAATAGATAAAATAAGAGTAAGCCATAGGGTAAGCCCTTAGATTTAAGTATTTGCTGTTATTATGTTAGGTCAGAAAATAACTGATATTTGGTCATTTGTGACCAGATAGCAGTATACAAACACCGCGCAGGTGTTAATAAAAAAAAAAAAAAAACTTATTAAAAAATATGTAATTCCGAAAACCTATTATGAAGTCCTGGAGTCTTTTTCTATAAAACGAGCTACTCTGGTGTAGATTTCAAGAAAACGGAAGTACAGAAAAGGAAAACTAAAGTAAATAGAGAATTATTTTTAGAAGGTTTAGAAAATGGTAATAACGAACTTATTAAAAATATGTAATTCCGAAAACCTATTATGATAGTTATTACAAAAATGTATTAGATTAGGCCTAAATTATTAATGTATGGATGTCAGTTTAGTTTTTTTTTAATTGTGGATAATTTTTAGGTTTTTGTCAACATTGTGTAAAAGTAATGACTGCTTTTGTATTTTTTTGAATATTTTTTGTATAAAATATTTTGTTTAAAATAAATAAATTTTGAAATTAAAATATGACTTTAATAATTATTTTTTCTGAAAGTCTCTTGTCTATTTCAATAAAAATCTACAGCTTTGTGTTACGATTCACATTGACAAAGTGTTGCATCTTAATTAAATTGAATTCAAAATAATTTTGAAATCATGACGGTTTTCATTTTTCGAAAGTTTAATAAGTCAGAAAATCTCAATTTTTTCTGTTCTGATCGCAAGATTAATACTCATGTGATACCAAAATACTTAGTAACTCAATGTATTTTCAATATAATTTACAAAAGCTTTTAAATCTTTTATTATATCGAGTGGATTAGATTTTTTCAATTTGTCTAAAAAGTGGTTTTTTGAGTTACTAAACTTTTAATATAGGTGTGCGATATGTGTATTTAGTTCTTCTTTTCCAAAAACTAATAAAAAAAAGCGGCTCTTGGTTAAAACCTACCCAGAATAAATCGGCAGTTAACGTGTTCAAGAATTAAGCAGTATCAGACGAAGAAATACACTATATATGCTATAAGAAGGTTTACACTTACCTCAATAGAGACAATAGTATCCGTAAACTGATTTCCATCACTGCACCTCACCAACAACTTGTAGACGTCTTTAGTTTCCCTGTCCAGAGAATCTATCAAGCGCAAGACTCCACTTGTTTTGTCCAAAGAGAATTTTCCGTCGTCCCCTTTCAGGAGACTATAATCGAGAGTTCCAATCGTGTCTGGATCTTCGGCTTTGATCGTCGCGATCGACTGTCCAGGACCAAGATCTTCCGAAACGGAAAAGTGCAAGGGAGCGTCTTTGAAAGACGGTGGACTGTCATTTTTATCCAAGACCGTTATTTGGACCTAAAACAATAAATTATATTAGGTATTGCTGTTATTTAAAGTTATATTCATATAGTATATTCATATAAAAAATACAAATTGCATGCACATTTCTTTGCTATCGGTGATTAACATTGACCTCATTTTCCAAAGAATATATAAAAATCGTATATTTTCAATCGTGCAGAAACTCAAGCACAAATTCTTCCCTCAAGTCGAGATACAAAATCTCTTTAAATTTAAATCGCCCTATTCGTGATATTAAAATATCAGGTTTTTTGGCACAGCTAAGGCTCGTTTTCTCCAATTAGAGAGGAAACTACACTCTGATCCACAACTCTTTGATAGTTATTAAAAGATCATTCAAGATTATTTAGCTAATGACCAGATTAAAAGAGCACCTTTAAAGCCCTTAATCTCAGAAAATAGGCTAAACTAGCGGACCAACTCGACATCGAGTTTTTTAAATGAAATTTTTATTTTGCGAGAAAAATTAAGAGATCAATACAAACAATATAAGCAAGAATATACATAACATTCATCAATAATAATGCAAGTAAAAAGTGTATTAAATATCACAAAATATTTCGTCGAAAACAATGTTTTTTGTTACAATGTCTCCATTTTCTGAAAACTTTTGCTTGGCACCGGGAGTTATGTAAACTTTTACTTTTTACTTTTTAATAAAAACGAAACCGGAAGTCGACCTCAAAACCGGAATGCAATTTTTAGTTCATCAAATGTCGACATGGATATCATTTAGCAGTTAATTTTGCATGCTGATTACGAATCCGGTGTCAGATTTGCTCTATCTTGACGTTTTATGCGCGTTTCGGGTCACTTCCGGTGTCGGATCGCAACCGGAAGTACATATTTAGATTCGTCTCGACGAGACCTTTCGATCCATATATACATTGTGGGGTCTAAAACTTAAAGTAAATTTTAACTTCCGGTCATCTCAAAACCGGAAGTGAATTTTTGTACCAAAAGTATATCTTGACAATCTCATACGTAATACTAATAATATTCCGAAAAAATATTTTAATTATCTAATATGGTTTTTGAGTAAAGTGGTGGACAAGAAAAGGCTTAGCGTTTTATTATATAAGATTATTATTTACCCCACTTTTCAGTCAGAAAAAATGACTCTAGTACAAATGTACGGCTAATATCTGATCCAAATAATAATTCTCCTTTAGTTTGTTATAATGATAAACTAGATAAAGGGTTTTTAACCCAACCCCTTCTTATTGATATTCTTTAAGACTTCGCACATTCACTCAAGTTTCAATAGCAGATATTAAATCTATGTATATGCAGATATGAGTAGACTGTTCCGAGTTAAATTTTCTCTGGCGTGACTCACCACTCAAACGCCATTCAATGCATTTAATCTCACTAGAGTTCCCTTTGAATTATGTTCATCACCATTTCTCGCCATTAGGGCTCTTAAACACATTGCGGACAATAATAAGGATGATTTTTCCTTTAGCCGTGACCCTCTCTTGTATTCTACCTATGTAGATGATATTTTAGGTGGATGTGATGTAAAAGAATTAGAACTTTTGTTCTCTCAACTTAAAATCTTGTTAGGTAAACACGGTTTTAATGGTTTTCATCCACAAGGTTTCTTCAAACATCGAAGAATTTTTAAAAAGCCTCCCTGAACTCGACTCCCTGAACCCAAAACTTAGGTGATTCTTCTTCGAAAGTCTTCGGAGTTAAATGGAATCAACAATCAGATACATTTTCATTTTCACCACCATATTTTAGTATAGGCCAGTAAATCACCAAAGGAAATAGAACAATTCTATAATATCTTAGACGAGGTGATGAGAACAACAAAGAGACAACACATTAACATAGTAATTAAACACAACCAAGTTTATCAAAAGTTGGAGTCAGATATTAGTAATACACAGATGGGGTTCAGAAAAGGGCTTGGTGCTCGAGAAGCTCTCTTCGGTTTGAATGTTCTCACACAAAGATGCCTAGACGTTAATCAGGAGGTACATACGTGTTTTATCGATTTTGAAAAAGCGTTTGACAGAGTACGCCATGATAAGCTTAGAGAGATTCTTGAAAGGAAGGACATAGATAATAAAGATCTGCGAATAATTCTCAATCTATATTGGAATCAGAAAGCTAACATCAAAATAGAAACTGAAACATCACAAGCAATAGAAATACGTAGAGGAGTACGACAGGGTTGCATTTTGTCACCTCTGTTATTTAATGTATATAGTGAAAGCATCTGTCAGGAAGCCCTTTTACAAGCAAACGGAGGAATCGTAATTAATGGAGAGATTGTAAATAATATTCGATACGCGGACGACACTGTACTAGTTGCAAGAACAGTAGAAGAATTACAAAGATTACTTACAGACATAAATATTGCTTGCAACAATTATGGTATAAATATCAATATTAAAAAAACCAAGTATATGGTCTTCAGTAAAAACATGACACAACCAGCGTATATTAGTATAAACGGCACTCAAGTTGAAAAAGTATCAAGTTACAAATACTTGGGAACTTTAATAAACGAAACTGGAGACCAAAACAGTGAAATAAAAAGACGTATCGAAATTGCCAGGGCCACCTTCAATAAAGAATGCTCTGAAGAGAAGCTATGTATTTAACACGCTATTATATGGTGTAGAGGCCTGGACTCTCAAACAGAACAACATGAAAAATATTGAAAGTTTCGAGATGTGGTGCTACCGTCGAATGCTGAAGATTAGTTGGGTTGAAAGAATAACAAACTTGAAGTAATACGAAGAATAGGAAAAGACCCAGAGATTTTGTTAACGCTAAAGCGAAGAAAACTCGAATATTTTGGTCACCTGATGAGAGGACATAAATACGCATTACTTCAAAATATAATGCAGGGAAAAATAGAAGGAAAACGGAATCCAGGCCGTAGAAGAATGTCATGGTTGCGGAATTTGAGAGAGTGGTTTGGCTGCACCACTAATGAACTCTTTAGGTCAGCCGTAAACAAGGTCAGAATAGCCTTGATGATTTCCAATCTCCGATAGGAGTGGCACAAAAAGAAGAAGTAAATCACTACGAGGAAGGAGCTTAGTATTCTGATGTCTACTTTTGATCCAATGAATTCAGCCGGTGATATTACTATCTCCTCCAAAATTCTCTTGCAACGTTTCAAACGTTTCAAAAATTCTCGTGCAAGCACAAAACACTATAATAATACTAAATATTGTTGACAATGTTGTCTGTTGTCATTTATATATTTACAGAATGGGTGAATTTTTGTCAAAAGTGGAGTTAAATACTAAATTAAAATATTGGTAAATAGTTTTTACATGTTCGAATGGATTTATTCGACAGTACCTATTATTTTAGAGATTTATAGGTCATATATATGCTAATATTTAGTGTTCATATGCCTCTAATCAAACTTAATATCTAAGTTATTTGTTTAAGAAAAATAATAATTCCCGGTATTTTCATTTTAATTTTTTGCAATCCCTTTGTTGATAAAATTAGCACGCCTATAAAACTTATGCAGACAAAATAAAAAGATACAAAAAGTATGCATATTATTATTCTTGACAACAGATACCGCTGGTATGTTAGTTGACAGCATAAATCATTTTATATTTCGACCGTCTTCAATTTTGCGGTTAAAACTGGCAAAAACTGTCAAGCGGTAATTTTGAAATATGGCTGGAGTGACCGCCGTTTTCTACAAACATTAAAACGATACATTCATTCACAAAGAGTAAATTGCTTTTTGGTATAAATAGAAATAACGGAAAAGCGTTTTTAAAACACTTGTTATTATGTGAAAAAGAGGAAATAAAAAAGGTGGTACTGTACGCGGTACTGTAGACTAGCGCGCACTTTAAGGGAACGATAGCTGTATCATCCTTGGGAAAAGTTAAAAAGAAATTTCAGTGTAAAATTTTTTACTTCAATTATCTTTAAATCGGCGGATGCTGCATAATATCAAAAAATAGCGATTATTTCACATTTTACCTGTCAACCACGCATTCCGTTACATCCTTTTTATTTTACTAATTTAGTATTCCTGGTTTACATCGATTATTTTACATAATTTGTAATTTAGTGACCGAACAAATAGCTCAATAAAAAGTCAAGGCCGCTATATGTTTATAATCCTTCTTGCTTTTTGTAAATTGAGTAAAAAACGAGACAGTTTTATGGCGGCTGTATTGATAGAACTTTACATTATAATAGATTTTATAGTTTTTTAAAAGGATTGCATCATTAATTTCTTAAACGCTGTCGAGAAAATCAAATTATTCATTAAATTAACATTTAGATCACTGTTAAATTTTTAAGACTGTGAAATATCCGGTTATTCAACTTGCCGCGGTAGAGTTTCAATACCTGCTAGATTTTTTAATTTTACAAACGACCATTAGATGGCATTAGTGTTCAGTTTTTGTTCTGAACTATGGTTTGTTTTTTAAACAGGAGGAGTAATTAAAATTTACCAAGCTGTAATGCTTGTTTGTGATTGGTCCAACCGCAGGCAAGTTTACTCCACTAAATTATGACATTTTGACACTAATGACATTTATGAAAGTTTAAAATTCAAAATTTATATCGACAATTTTTTGTATTTTCTGCGTTATTTCTTTAATTTTTATATTTTCCGTTTTCATTTATATAAAAAACAGTTCTTTTCAGAACTATTTAGCGACATATTAGTTTTATTAGGATAACAATATGGATTCAATGCCAAGTACTAGTGGTAAATATCCTTCTACAGCTAAAAAACGCTGAGTAGATTAGGGCCTTCTTCTTCTTCTTACTCGTTAACCTGATGCAGGTATCGTGATATCATGAAGCTATTAGCTAAATTTCCCAATGTTCCTCCACGTTTTTCTATCTTCTGCCATTCTAGCACATTCTGACAATGGAGCGCCAATGGTAGCAACAATATGGTCCGTGTATCGTGTGGGAGATCTACCTCTATTTCTTTTGCCTTCTACTTTTCCCTGGATGGTAAGTTTTTCAAGACCATTTCT